AATCTCCCAAAAGAATGTCTTTGGCAAAAAGCAACTGTGACAGTTCCCACTTTGTATTAGATTCTTTATCTTCAATCCTACCCCTCTCTCTAACATCTTAGCATTCACTTCTTTCACACCCCTTCTATAACTGTTTAACAATTATGGTGACATCACACATTCCTGTCTAAAGCCTAATTTTACTGGAAAATAATCTCCTCTGCTATGTACCCTAACCTGAGCTTCACTATTCTCGTAAAAGCTCTTAGCTGCTTTAAGTAACCTACAACCTACAGTGGACCCCCGGTTATTGGCTGTAATCCGTTCCTGAAGGTTGGCCGATAATCAAATTAATATGAGGAAAGAGGGAGGAGTTAGTGTTTTGAAAGGGGAATCCCCCTCCATAAAAGACTTTAGGTAGCAATGCCTTCTCTGGGGTTACTTCCCTTCTGTCTTTTAAGCCGTAAATGGTCCAAGCAGATCCATGTTCACATGTGTAGTGCTCCAAAAGTAGATCAAAGTTTTTTTACACATTTTCAAATGTAAAAAAAAAAAAAACCTTCTTTTACATTCAAATGTTGAAAAAACGTATATGTATGTTTGGACCGTTTACGGGTTAATGCCTCTAGAACCAGCTTGAGTTACTGGACCTGTCTCACAGAATAACTGTACAGAGTGCTCTGTTTCTGGCATCTCTTTAAGATTTCCCTGAAGTGGGACAGGGTTTTGTTCCTAAACATGTTGCAGATATGGCTTGTTTCAGCTTTGTCAGGGTGGTGTTTCTCTACAAAACCTTGCACCCTGGTCCACATTGCACACACCTCTTTAATCTCTGAAGAAGGCACCTCCTTCACTCCTCCTTTGAAGCAAGTTCCTCAGCTGCAATCTGTTGCTGTTCAAGTTGAAGCTTTTTCAGCTCTTCAGTGGTAAGCTCTTCCCTGTGGTCCTCCAACAACTCTTCCACATCCTCACCACTCGCCTACAACCCCAGGGACTTCCCCAAAGACACATTAGAGTCCACAAGGTTGGCAGGGTCAGGGTCACGGCGAGTCTCAAGCCCTTCAAAATCCCTCTTGGACATAATCTGGCCACAGTTTTCTCCAAGCAGAGTTCAAAGTCCTGGAAGTCACTCCCTCCCAAGCCTTACCTATAAGGAGGATAGTGGAGGATAGTGAAGTGATTCCTCCAGAACTCTCTTAGGGTCAACTGAGTGTCCGAGGTCACTTCAAAGCACTTTTGAAACACTGTTTTTGTGTAGAGTTTTATGAAGTTAGAAATGACCTGCTGGTCCATGGACTGGAGGAAAGGAGTGGTGTTAGGAGGCAAGAACTTCACTTTCATAAAACTGCAGTCCCTAACACTTGGTCTTCCAAGTCTGGAGGATGTGCAGGAGCATTGTCCAGTAACAGGAGGCACTTGAGTGGCAGTTTCTTTTCCAGAAGGTATTTTTTTCACACTTGGGCCAAACACATCATTAGCCTACTCTTTGAAAATTTGCCTTGTGATCCATGCCATATGATTAGCTTTCCACATCACACACAATCTAGCATTACCACACAACAAGAGAGTAAGCCTGTCTTTCATAGGCTTGTGTCCTGGCAGTGCCTTTTCCTCCTGGGTAATGTAGGTCCTGTTTGGCATTTTCTTCCAAAACAGGCCTGTTTGTCACAATTGAAAACTTGTTGGGGTTCGAATCCTTCAGCCTTTACATAGTCCTGGAATTCGTGAACATACTTTTCAGCTGCACATTTGTCGGAACTTGCAGCCTTGCAACACTGTGTATGCCACTTCTTCTTTGAAAAAACTGGCCATATTCCATTGAAGCAGGGTGGCCAAAAAAGAAAAACAAAAGTTTCTCTTTTTAACTATAGTAATGCATACAGGAGAATGGGGTTACCAGACCCTTGCTCCTGGCATTTTCGTCGCCTCTTACGACACGCATGGCTTACGGAGGAAGAATTCTGCTCCACTTCCCCATAGAGATAAGAGGAAATGAACAAGAACTAGTAAGAAAATAAAAGAAAACCAAGAGGGGTGTGTATATATACGCTTGTACATGCATGTGTAGTGTGACCTAAGTGTAAGTAGAAGTAGCAAGACATACCTAAAATCTTTCATGTTTGAGACAGAAAAGACACCAACAATCCTACCATCATGTAAAACAATTACAGGCTTTCATTTTACATTCACTTGGCAGGACGGTAGTACAGTGGTCCCTCGTTTATCATCCTTAATCCGTTCCTGGAAGTGGGACTATTATCGAAATAGACGATTTTCGAATAAATTTTCCCATAAAAATAATATAAATACAATTAATCTGTTCCTGACACCCAGAAATATTAAAACAAAAAAAATTTTTACATGAATATATATGAAAGTACATAAAAAATTTCAATGGGACATGATGAATGAAACTTTAAAACAGCATAAAGCTTACCTTTATTGGTGATTCTTCTTAGTGTATGGAAGACTGGAGGAGGAGAGAGATTGGATTTGTTACTGTTTGGAAGGGAAATCCCCTTCCATCAACACCTCAGGTACTACCAAGCCCTTTTCTGGGGTTGCTTCTCTTCTCTGTTTCTTAATGCCACTAGGACCAGCTTGAGTAAACTGGAGTCCTGTTCTTGCAAAAAAAAACTGTCCAGAGAGCTCTGTTTCTGGTATCTCTTTAAAGCTTCCCTAAAATGGGCCAAGACTCTGTCACTGCACAAGTTGCCGATATGGCTTGCAACATACTTCTCATGGTGATGTTTCTCCATAAATCTTTCCATCCTACCCCACATTTCAAAAATCTCCTTAATTTCTGAAGAAAGCACCTTCTTCCATCTCTCTTCTCTGCAGCAAGATTCTGAGCTGTGATCTGTTGCTTTTCCTGCTGAAGCTCTTGCAGCTCCTCAGTGGTTAGCTCTTCCCTGTGGTCCTCCACCAACTCTTCCCTGTGGTCCTCCACCAACTCTTCCCTGTGGTCCTCCAAACTCACATCCAACCCCATGGAACTCCCCAATGCCACAATAGCATTCACAACTGACATAGGCTCATTAGGGTAGCCACAAAGCCTTCAAAATCCCTCTTGTGGACACAATCTGGCCACAATTTTCTCCAAGCAAAGTTCAAAGTCCTGGTAATCACTCCCTCCCAAGGCTTATGCAATGGAGGATACTGAAGTGTTCTTTCCAAAAATCTCTTAGGATCAAGTAAGTGTCTGAGGTCACATACTAATAACATAGAAACATGGAATATACTCTAGAATGAATAAAATAAGTCATTATGTATGTCACAAGGTGTTGTGTTGTTGTTGGGTGTATAAGGGCCAATGAGAGTAAGCCGTCCATCACTACCACCTTCTACCAGTATTACAACTGCTACCACCTTCTACCAGTATTACAACTGCTACCACCTTCTACCAGTATTACAACTGCTACCACCTTCTACCACTATTACAACTGCTACCACCATCACTACCACCACCTACCACTATTACAACTGCTACCACCATCACTACCACCTTCTACCACCCTATACCACCATCACTACCACCTTCTACCACCCTATACCACCATCACTACCACCCTATACCACCATCACTACCACCCTATACCACCATCACTACCACCCTATACCACCATCACTACCACCTTCTACCACTATTACAACTGCTACCACCTTCTACCACCCTATACCACCATCAACCACTATCACAACTGCTTCCACTCGACCACCACCACCTTCGTATTTTTCTACGAACTTTTTCTTAAATTATGTGTGTTTCTCACATTCTTTACTAAAGGGCTGGCACTAGAAGCTTTTTTTGGAGCCATGGCGACTTACTTAGTAGTTGCAAGCACTAAAACGAATGGAATATTATGAAATGTATCGTATGAACTTGTGGGATCATCCTCACTCGCTGATAAACAGTGGCACACTGGCTGGGAATGGAGTGTGAGGCGGCTCGGGGCTGTGTGTACACGTCCCAGACGAACGACGATTAGCGAGTCAACGGACCATTTGCGAGCAAATGTTTGGACGAAATAACGCGACAATTTCCGAAAAGGACGACTATCGAGCCGGACTATTACCGAGGGACCACTGTACCTCCCTGGGCAGTTGCTGTCTACCAACCTACTACCTAGGTGTGTATGCCACTACGCTTATTAAATCTATCAAACCATCCTTTGCTGGCCCTAAATTCACAAACTGCAGCACTTGTTCCAGGTATTTTCTTTGCAAGATCCTCATGCAACTGTTTTGCCTTCTCACAAATGATTGATTCAACTACACTGTTTCCCACTAATTCTTTTTCCTAATCCACAATAATAATAACTTTTCCATCTCTTCCATTATCAGTGTCCTTTGTTTAGTTAGAAAAGCTACTCCTTTTGCAACATTAGTGTCTTTGATTTGTTCTTTCTTTGTTTGCCAGGATGGATGTAATTGTTGATTTATTCTTGTTGTACATCCTGGCAAGTTCCACCACCTTCATACCACTCTCGAATTTTTCTATCACTTCACGCTTAAATTCCATGGTGTTTCTCACTTTCTTTACCACAGGAACTTTACTAGAACTTTCTTTGGAGCCATGGTTACTTATTTCACAGTTGCATGCAAGAAAAAACACTAAAAACAATGGTAAACAAGCAAAATGTTTGGATGTATGAGCAGAAGCTTCCTCAGTCACTGAGAGACAAAGTCAAACTGAAGCGCAAGCTGCCCCAGCCGGCAGTTGGACACGTCCAAAACAGCCGATAACTGAGCGAATGGCCGATAACCGAGCGCCAAAAACCCCGCCGATAACCAAACCGGCTGGTAACTGGGGGTCCACTGTATTTCAAAAACTTGCAACATCTGCCACACTGCTTCCCTATCCACTGAGTCAAATGCCTTTTCTAAATTTATAAATGCAACTAAAACTTCCTTATTCTTATCTAAATGTTCCTTTTTTCTTTAGTTGTAAAATGTTTGTTTGTTACATTTAATAAGTTGTCTGAAGATGTCATATACTGAGGTAATTTTTTTTTTACCAGGTATATGGTGGATCAACGGCGGGCAATTTTCATGTTTAAAGATGGTGCTCAAGCCTGGGAGGCTAAAGACTTCCTAATAGAGCAGCAGGAGCTGAAAGAGTGTTCGATGGAGAACAAGGTGTATCATGGACGCTTTACTCCTGAGGTGAGCTAGCAACCGTAGTCATGCTAAGGCATCTATACTGTTAAGATTTTTAAGTTTTCCTCTTTCATGAAAGGGGGGGAGGTGAGGAGACTGGTTGGGTGCAAGTAGGATTGCTTGGCAGGGGATGGGGTGGAGAAAGAATAATGGAACTTATTGGGTGTGAACAGGACCTACCTAGTTGGGAGTAAGAGGGGAAAGTTGGACTAGTTGGGTGTGAATAAAACCTGATTAGCTAGGGGGTGGGGTAAGGAAATAGTGGGCCCTTTTTTGGCGGACACTGGACCTGTCTAGCGAGGAGTGTTCTTCGGATATAATGTTTTTAAGTGAATGGTAAAGGAAAAAAAGGTAAATCTACTTAAAATGACAGTTTTTTTTCTTTCTCACAAAAAAAGGGTTTTACATTTTGATCAAAAAGCCAGTGTGCATAATTCTATATTAAAAATACGAAGTAAATTTCACAAAGATGTGTATTTTCTCTAGCACAACCAAAACTAAAGTTCAGTTACTAAAGATTTTTTTTTAACTTTGTAGGTATATTCAGCATTTTAGTAAATGTTTATTTGTATGTAAGAGTAATGCATGGAAGTTGCTTGTAACTGTCATGCAAGAATGTATGCAATACCCATGGGGTATACTTCAACTCTTGTACTGTTGGGTGTGTAGATCTAGGTCATTGAGGCCAGTGTCACTTGCGTCATAATCATACTCAAATTCACTGTCAATGGTAAATTTTGGCTTAGATACGAGAGAATGAGGTCTGCACAGGGAGTGTTCACGGTAGGAAAAAAAATCTGTCTATATATGGTAAACATGAGGAAATTAAATCTTCATCAGAGTACAAAACAAATTCTGGCCACAAAATAGAGCGAAACACCAACGTCAAAGACCTGGGAGTGATCATGTCGGAGGATCTCACCTTCAAGGACCATAACATTGCATCAATCGCATCTGCTAGAAAAATGACAGGATGGATAATGAAAACCTTCAAAACTAGGGAGGCCAAGCTCATGATGACACTCTTCAGGTCACTTGTTCTATCTAGGCTGGAGTATTGCTGCACACTAACAGCACCTTTCAAGGCAGGTGAAATTGCCGACCTAGAAAATGTACAGAGAACTTTCACGGCGCGCATAACGGAGATAAAACACCTCAATTACTGGGAGCGCTTGAGGTTCCTAAACCTGTATTCCCTGGAATGCAGGAGGGAGAGATACATGATTATATACACCTGGAAAATCCTAGAGGACTAGTACCGAACTTGCACACGAAAATCACTCACTATGAAAGCAAAAGACTTGGCAGACGATGCACCATCCCCCCAATGAAAAGCAGGGGTGTCACTAGCACGTTAAGAGACCATACAATAAGTGTCAGGGGCCTGAGACTGTTCAACTGCCTCCCAGCACACATAAGGGGATTACCAACAGACCCCTGGCAGTCTTCAAGCTGGCACTGGACAAGCACCTAAAGTCAGTTCCTGATCAGCTGGGCTGTGGCTCGTACATTGGTTTGCGTGCAGCCAGCAGCAACAGCCTGGTTGATCAGGCTCTGATCCACCAGGAGGCCTGGTCACAGACCGGGCCGCGGGGGCGTTGACCCCCGGAACTCTCTCCAGGTAAACTCCAGGTAAACATATTGCATGATGCGGACAACCATCCCTCTGACCTTTTGTGTTAAACTGCAACTTTGAGATGTTTTTTCTGGGTAGCTTTTCTGGTTTTATTGGCTTTTTTTTTTTTTTTTTTTTTTTTTTTTAACAAGTCGGCCGTCTCCCACCGAGGCAGGGTGACCCAAAAATCATCATTCAACACTTTCACCACACTCGCACATTATCACTGTTTTTGCAGAGGTGCTCAACACAACAGTTTAGAAGCATATACGTATAAAGATACACAACATATCCCTCCAAACTGCCAATATCCCGAACCCCTCCTTTAAAGTGCAGGCATTGTACTTCCCATTTCCAGGACTCGAGTCCGGCTATATAAAAATAACCGGTTTCCCTGAATCCCTTCACTAAATATTACCCTGCTCACACTCCAACAGATTGTCAGGTCCCAAATACCATTCGTCTCCATTCACTCCTATCGAACATGCTCATGCACGCCTGCTGGAAGTCCAAGCCCCTCATCCACAAAACCTCCCTTACCCCTTCCTTCCAACCTTTTCAAGGACAACCCCTACCCCACCTTCCTTCCCCTACAGATTATACACTCTCCATGTCTTTCTACTTTGATCCATTCTCTCTAAATGACCAAACCACCTCAACAACCCCTCTTCAGCCCTCTGACTAATACTTTTATTAACTCTACACCTTCTCCTAATTTCCACACTCCGAATTTTCTGCATAATATTTACACCACACATTGCCCTTAGACAGGACATCTCCACTGCCTCCAACCGCCTCCTCGCTGCTGCGTTCACAACCCAAGCTTCACACCCATATAAGAGTGTTGGTACTACAATACTTTCATACATTCCCTTCTTTGCCTCCATAGATAACGTTTTTTGTCTCCACATATACCTCAACGCACCACTCGCCTTTTTTCCCTCGTCAGTTCTATGATTAACCTCGTCCTTCATAAATCCATCCGCCGACACGTCGACTCCCAAGTATCTGAAAACATTCACTTCTTCCATACTCCTCCTCCCCAGAAACTACCTGAAATAAGCCTTAAATTAGCAGAAATTCTTTATTTTTACCAATTTTCTCAAGGAAGGGTAGGATCTCCTTAGCCCCCCTCCCCCCAATCCTGTTTATTTATTTTTTTTTTTACTAGGGATGCTTCACTTATTGGGATGGCCTAAACCATGACCAAGCATTCTTGGTTACATTAGCACAGAAATAGTTTTTTTTTTTTTTGTGATGGGTTCTAATTGGAGGGCAAGTGTTATATGAAGGGGCCGCAAGACATGTTAATGAACAAAAGAAAAGTTGCTTTAGTTCCTTGAATGCCTTTTTTTATTTTGGATTGTTTAAATTGATATTTGTTAAATTTTGTAAGGTAGCCCTGAAAGTTGAATGGGCAGTTTCTTGCACTTGATCAGTAGAATGGAAGGCCTACCAGCCAAATAGCCAGGAGTAAGATGGTTTGAATAGTGAAATTGGCATAAAATAGGCCTTAGTTTGTGAAGTCTCCGATATGTAAATTATACCTAGACTGCCAGCTTCACACTTTTGTAATTTTTCCATCAAATTCTGCATTTTTGGAGTTATGGCCACCAGAATGATTCTCCACCACTTTAGATAAAATAATTATTATTATTATGACACTGACTGCTTTTAATTTTGGGTGGTTGTGACAGTGAAGGGTTAAGACTTAGTGCTCTTGATTAAGGGATTAGAGCTAGCATTTCCATGGATCAAACTTGATTGTGTGTTCAGCACTTCCCAATCATAATAAGGGTTTCATTACCCCATCTCTTCCCTTATTTTCTTTTTTCTTAAAATTTTGGAAATCTTTCAGGGACAGGAAGAATACAGAAAAACTGCTAAAAAGAAGCCAAAGACTAAATCAAAGAAAAAGAAAGAAGAGTTATAATTATGGACTGGTTTACAGTAAGGGCTTTATAGTGTTTGCACAAGTTTTATCCTGGTTTATAATTAACATCTTTGTTATAGCACTTTTCCTTGGCTTCTGTTGTCTGTTAAAGTAGGGGTATGTGCTAAAGTTCAAACCAGGGAATAGATGAAGTTTGAACCAATACCAAGTAAATTCTAAAACCCCACCCATTCCCTGGTTTGTTTGCAAAGGTGTTATTACAGTTTTGTGAGGTGTGCTAAAGTTCACTTAATAATTTAAGGCACTTGTTATTATGGATGGTTGTCCATATTTGACAAGAGTATAAACAATGTTAGTAAGTTATTTAACTGTAATAATTTTGTATTAATTAACATGCTGGTTTTCCATCTTCACATATTTGGTTTTACATGACTGAATTCTGGTATAATTTTTGAAGGGCCTACATATTTAGGCTTTGTGAAAGTGACAGACTGGTGTATGTTTGTAATAAAGACTTCATTTATTACTACTTAGTTTAACATACCTTCCATAATATTACTGTGTTAATGTATACAAGTACAGTGGACCCTGGGTAATGATTTTAATCCGTTCCAGAGAGCTTGTCCTTAACTGATTTTATCGTTAGCTGAATTAATTTTCCCCATAAGAAATAATGGAAATCCAATTAATCCATTCCTGCTGTCAGAAGACTTGACAGAATAGTACTTCAATATGACACTATTATCAACTCTACGGCTTATTTATCTATCGCAATTCATCTAATATGACATACTAAACAATATTAATAACATAGAAACATGATATATACTCTAGAATGAATAAAATATGTCATAATGTATGTGAGGATAAGTGATGGAAGTATTGCTGGGTTTATAATGGCCACTGGTGGTGGAGGCTTCTGCCACCACCACTATCCACAAACAATATTTTTATTATCACACTGGCCGATTCCCACCAAGGCAGGGTGGCCCGAAAAAGAAAAACTTTCACCATCATTCACTCCATCACTGTCTTGCCAGAAGGGTGCTTTACACTACAGTTTTTAAACTGCAACATTAACACCCCTCCAGAGTGCAGGCACTGTACTTCCCATCACCAAGACTCAAGTCCGGCCTGCCGGTTTCCCTAAATCCCTTCATAAATGTTACTTTGCTCACACTCCAACAGCACGTCAAGTATTAAAAAACATTTGTCTCCATTCACTCCTATCAAACACGCTCACGCATGCCTGCTGGAAGTCCAAGCCCATCGCACACAACACCTCCTTTATCCCCTCCCTCCAACCTTTCCTAGGCCGACCCCTACCCCGCCTTCCTTCCACTAAAGACTGATACACTCTTTGAATTCATTCTGTTTCGCTTCATTCTCTCTACATGTCCGAACCACCTCAACAACCCTTCCTTAGCCCTCTGGTCAACAGTTTTGGCAATCCCACACTTCCTCCTAACTTCCAAACTACGAATTCTCTGCATTATATTCACACCACACATTGCCCTCAGACATGACATCTCCACTGCCTCCAGCCTTCTCCTCGCTGCAACATTCATCACCCATGCTTCACACCCATATAAGAGCGTTGGTAATAAACTATACTCTCATTTCATTCCCCTCTTTGCCTCCAAGGACAAAGTTCTGTCTCCACAGACTCCTAAGTGCACCACTCACCCTTTTCCCCTCATCAATTCTACGATTCACCTCATCTTTTGTAGACCCATCCGCTGACACGTCCACTCCCAAATATCTGAATACAATCACCTCCTCCATACTCTCTCCCTCCAATCTGATATCCAATCTTTCATCACCTAATCTTTTTGTTATCTTCATAACCTTACTCTTTCCTGTATTCACTTTTAATTTTCTTCTTTTAAATCCCCTACCAAATTCATCCACCAACCTCTGCAACTTCTCTTCAGAATCTCCCAAGAGCACAGTGTTATCAGCAAAGAGCAACTGTGACAACTCCCACTTTATGTGATTCTTTATCTTTTAACTCCACGCCTCTTGCCAAGACCCTCGCATTTACTTCTCTTACAACCCCATCTATAAATATATTGAACAACCACGGTGACATCACACAATGTAATTTATAAATAAGAAATATTTACACTTACCTCGGAGGAGATGTTAGTTTAATTACGTAGTTAGTTTAATGGAGTGTAGCAGATATGCAGGAAGTGTAGCAGGCATGCTGGGAGTGTAGCAGACATGCAGGGAGTGTAGCAGGCATGCAGGGAGTGTAGCAGGCATTCAGGGAGTGTAGCAGACATGCTGGGAGTGTAGCAGACATGCAGGGAGTGTAGCAGGCATGCAGGGAGTGTAGCAGGCATTCAGGGAGTGTAGCAGGCATTCAGGGAGCGTAGCAGGCATTCAGGGAGTGTAGCAGGCATTCAGGGAGTGTAGCAGGCATGCTGGGAGTGTAGCAGACATGCATGCCTGCTACACTCCCTGCATGTCTGCTACACTCCCAGCATGCCTGCTACACTCCCTGAATGCCTGCTACACTCCCTGAATGCCTGCTACACTCCCTGAATGCCTGCTACACTCCCTGAATGCCTGCTACACTCCCTGAATGCCTGCTACACTCCCAGCATGCCTGCTACACTCCCAGCATGCCTGCTACACTTCCTGCATGTCTGCTACACTCCCTGCATGCCTGCTACACTCCCAGCATGTCCACTACACTCCCTGCAGGCCTGCTACACTCCCTGCATGCCTGCTACACTCCCTGCATGCCTGCTAAACTCCCTGCATGCCTGCTACACTCCCTGCATGTCTGCTACACTCCCTGCAGGGAGTGTAGCGGGCATGCAGGGAGTGTAGTGGGCATGCTGGGAGTGTAGCAGGCATGCAGGGAGTTTTGCAGGGAGTTTAGCAGGCATGCAGGGAGTTTAGCAGGCATGCAGGGAGTGTAGCAGGCATGCAGGGAGTGTAGCAGGCATGCAGGGAGTGTAGCGGGCATGCAGGGAGTGTAGCAGGCATGCAGGGAGTGTAGCAGGCATGCAGGGAGTGTAGCAGGGAGTGTAGCAGGCATGCAGGGAGTGTAGCAGATATGCAGGAAGTGTAGCAGGCATTCAGGGAGTGTAGCAGGCATGCAGGGAGTGTAGCAGACATGCAGGGAGTGTAGCAGGCATGCAGGGAGTGTAGCAGGCATGCAGGGAGTGTAGCGGGCATGCTGGGAGTGTAGCAGACATGCAGGGAGTGTAGCAGGCATGCAGGGAGTGTAGCAGGCATGCAGGGAGTGTAGCAGGCATGCAGGGAGTGTAGCAGACATGCAGGAAGTGTAGCAGGCATGCAGGGAGTGTAGCAGACATGCAGGAAGTGTAGCAGGCATGCAGGGAGTGTAGCAGATATGCAGGAAGTGTAGCAGGTATGCTAGGAGTGTAGCAGACATGCAGGGAGTGTAGCAGACATGCAGGGAGTGTAGCAGACATGCAGGGAGTGTAGCAGGCATGCAGGGAGTGTAGCAGATATGCAGGAAGTGTAGCAGGCATGCTGGGAGTGTAGCAGACATGCAGGGAGTGTAGCAGGCATTCAGGGAGTGTAGCAGGCATGCTGGGAGTGTAGCAGACATGCAGGGAGTGTACCAGGCATGCAGGGAGTGTAGCAGGCATGCAGGGAGTGTAGCGGGCATGCAGGGAGTGTAGCAGGCATGCAGGGAGTGTAGCAGGCATGCAGGGAGTGTAGCAGGCATGCTGGGAGTGTAGCAGGCATGCAGGGAGTGTAGCAGGCATTCAGGGAGTGTAGCAGGCATGCAGGGAGTGTAGCAGGCATGCAGGGAGTGTAGCAGGCATGCAGGGAGTGTAGCAGGCATGCATGGAGTGTAGCAGGCATGCAGGGAGTGTAGCAGGCATGCAGGGAGTGTAGCAGGCATGCAGGGAGTGTAGCAGGCATGCAGGGAGTGTAGCAGACATGCAGGGAGTGTAGCAGACATGCAGGGAGTGTAGCAGACATGCTGGGAGTGTAGCAGACATGCTGGGAGTGTAGCAGACATGCTGGGAGTGTAGCAGACATGCTGGGAGTGTAGCAGACATGCAGGGAGTGTAGCAGACATGCAGGGAGTGTAGCAGACATGCTGGGAGTGTAGCAGACATGCTGGGAGTGTAGCAGACATGCTGGGAGTGTAGCAGACATGCAGGGAGTGTAGCAGACATGCAGGGAGTGTAGCAGACATGCTGGGAGTGTAGCAGGCATGCAGGGAGTGTAGCAGATATGCAGGGAGTGTAGCAGACATGCAGGGAGTGTAGCAGACATGCAGGGAGTGTAGCAGACATGCTGGGAGTGTAGCAGACATGCAGGGAGTGTAGCAGACATGCAGGAGTGTAGCAGACATGCTGGGAGTGTAGCAGACATGCTGGGAGTGTAGCAGACATGCAGGAAGTGTAGCAGACATGCAGGGAGTGTAGCAGACATGCTGGGAGTGTAGCAGACATGCAGGGAGTGTAGCAGACATGCTGGGAGTGTAGCAGACATGCTGGGAGTGTAGCAGACATGCAGGAAGTGTAGCAGACATGCAGGGAGTGTAGCAGACATGCAGGGAGTGTAGCAGACATGCAGGGAGTGTAGCAGACATGCAGGGAGTGTAGCAGACATGCAGGGAGTGTAGCAGACATGCTGGGAGTGTAGCAGACATGCAGGGAGTGTAGCAGACATGCTGGGAGTGTAGCAGGCATGCAGGGAGTGTAGCAGACATGCTGGGAGTGTAGCAGACATGCAGGGAGTGTAGCAGACATGCAGGGAGTGTAGCAGACATGCAGGGAGTGTAGCAGACATGCAGGGAGTGTAGCAGACATGCAGGGAGTGTAGCAGACATGCTGGGAGTGTAGCAGACATGCAGGGAGTGTAGCAGACATGCAGGGAGTGTAGCAGACATGCTGGGAGTGTAGCAGACATGCTGGGAGTGTAGCAGACATGCAGGGAGTGTAGCAGACATGCAGGGAGTGTAGCAGACATGCAGGGAGTGTAGCAGACATGCAGGGAGTGTAGCAGACATGCAGGGAGTGTAGCAGACATGCAGGGAGTGTAGCAGACATGCTGGGAGTGTAGCAGACATGCAGGGAGTGTAGCAGACATGCTGGGAGTGTAGCAGACATGCTGGGAGTGTAGCAGACATGCTGGGAGTGTAGCAGACATGCTGGGAGTGTAGCAGACATGCAGGGAGTGTAGCAGACATGCAGGGAGTGTAGCAGACATGCAGGGAGTGTAGCAGACATGCAGGGAGTGTAGCAGACATGCAGGGAGTGTAGCAGACATGCAGGGAGTGTAGCAGGCATGCAGGGAGTGTAGCAGACATGCAGGGAGTGTAGCAGACATGCTGGGAGTGTAGCAGTCATGCAGGGAGTGTAGCAGACATGCAGGGAGTGTAGCAGACATGCAGGGAGTGTAGCAGACATGCAGGGAGTGTAGCAGGCATGCAGGGAGTGTAGCAGACATGCTGGGAGTGTAGCAGACATGCTGGGAGTGTAGCAGACATGCAGGGAGTGTAGCAGACATGTAGGGAGTGTAGCA